GGACGCGATGCTCCAGCCGAGCTCCAGCCAGACTCCTCGCCCGAGCTACCAGGACCAGTCTCCCGACTCGGTTGCGCCTGCTTGACACGACCCGGCGCCGGCTGCTGGAACACATAGGAAGCCTCTAAAGGCGGATCGCTGCAGCCAGGGTACACCACCGGAGCAGTGGCACGGGCGTTGGCTGTCCGCATCCCAGCGAGGAAATGGCCGGCCAGATCCCGAAGATCCAGACGGGAGGTGTTGGCCACATCCACCGCCTCCTGAATGGTGACGACCGCCGGCAACGCGATGGCCACTTCCGTGGCCAAGTCCGGAAGTTACAGCCGCGGCCGAAGCCGTGGCCGAAGCCGGGGGTACTGCCGAAGCAGGGGTGGCGGCCGAAGCCGAGGGCGCCGCCGAAGCAGCGGTGGTGGCCGAAGCCGAGGGTGCCGCCGAAGCAGCGGTGGTGGCCGAAGCCGAGGGTGCTGCCGAAGCAGCGGTGGTGGCCGAAGCCGAGGGTGCTGCCGAAGCAGCGGTGGTGGCCGAAGCCGAGGGTGCCGCCGAAGCAGCGGTGGTGGCCGAAGCCGAGGGGGGTAGGACCATCTAGACAGGCTCGGCCGGCCGGCCGGTGATTGCAGACCTTGTTCCGCCGCCGGTGGCGGAATCCCGAAGCTCGGGAGTCGAAAGCCGAACTGAAGATGTCGGCTCGTGCTTGGGGGCCGGAGTCGTGGTCACCATGGTGCTAAGAAGGCCGTGGAGATGGCGATTGTAGCGCTCTGCGATTTCGAGACGATGAAAAGCCTCAGCCGTAGCAGCACGTTCATGCGAAGAAGAAAGCATGGGGGGGGGTGGGGGCACGGCGTAAGGGTAAGGGGAAAGGGTAGGGGCAGAGGGTACTGCTGAAACAACCGAGGTCGCAGCTAGGGGCGCCGAAGCAGGAGCTAGCATGGCAGAGTCGGTCGAAACGGTAGGATCGAAACCCGCCGTGTGAACACGTGAATCTGTGGAAAATGCGAGCAGAGGCGTATCTACTGGCATAGAAACAGCGGTGTTTACAGCAGCCGAAGCCGCTGACACAGGGTTCTGTGTGGAAGTAGTGTGGCGGGGAAAGGGGCAGACGACACTGTACGCAGGGTCGAAACGGTGCGAAGAGGCGGAGCTGCAGGAATATTAGCATCGCCAGCAGTCGAAACTGTGAGCAGGGGCGGAGCTAATGGAATGGGCAAAAGTACACGTGCAGCAGTCGAAACCGCAGAGACAGGTGCACCAGTAGTGGGAACATGATAGGCATGTGGGGGGGCAGACGTCACAGCAGTACGCAGCGTCGAAACGGTACGCAAAGGTGGGGCGGCTAAGGCAGCAGCACCGCGAACAGTCGAAACTGTGGGTAGCGGCGGAGCTAAAGGGATGGGGGCAAACACACCTACAGCAGTCGAGACCGCAGGGACAGGCACATTAGCAGTCGAAACTGCACGTGTAGTCGAAACTACTGAAGCTAAAGCATCGGAGGCAAACGAAATGGCCTGTGTGGGCGAAACCACGGGATCAGATGCAGTAGAATCAACCGAAAGAGCTGGGGTAGACGAGGCTACTGTGGGGAGTGTACCAGAGGCAATCGAAATCGCCCGTGTAGTCGAAACTACTGGAACAGTGGTTGGTGATGCGGCGGAATCTGCAAGCGGTGATGTCACTGAAGCAGATGCACGACGGTCACGAAGCCGTTGAGCGCGAGCCGCTGCTTGTACACGATCGCTACGAGAAGAAAAAGGGGGAATCGCCGGCACTGTATAGTCGAACTGCAACGTGCTGCGAGAAGCCGAGCGACTGGACAAGCGTGGTACTACAGGGCCAGCAACATGGTCGAAACCGATGTCGGTCCCAAGAGCAGGGTGCTCAACGGTGGATGGGGCGAGAGGAAAATTCGAGTCGACATGTGGTTCACGCGGGAATTCAGAAAGCTCATCACCAGCAGCCGTCGAGACGGACTGCTGTTGTACACCCAAAGACACAGAGGCAGAAACCGAAGTTCCAGGTGTGGGTGCTGGCGGTTTGAGGACAGCACCCACGGGGTTAGCGTCGACCGAAGCCGGCGAGGCGAACCTCTCCCGAATGCGTTGAGCGCGAAGCTCTGACAAACGAGCGGCATCGGCAACAGGGTCAGCGGCACGAGCACCGTCCGAAGACAGCAGCAGTTGTGTGGTCTGACGACCAGCTGCTGGGGACCCGAAGGTCGCTACACGGGGCGATGACACTGGCGAACGCGAACGTTCCGAATGCTCAGGACTCGCCGAAGCAGAGTCTGATGAGCCGACGCTAGGTTGAGACATACCGATAAGCGAGGCAAAGCTAAGCTGTGGTTGGGGCGAAAGCGCAAAAAACTGCAGCAGCAGTCTAAAGCACCAAACCGCGCCAAGACACAACCAAGCCAGACAACACCGTACGAATAAGCCGACAACGCCAAGTGTAGTGGTATGCACGCGTGATGAAGTCTGGTTGACCCGTGAAGAAGAACTCACTTGTTGTTACTCTTGTAGAACAGCAGCAGCAGTAGCTGTTGTCTTGGGTATCGGTAGGAATGACACCAAGGGGCACAGGATCCTCTGCACAAGCAGGGGCTACTAGATCCTGTCCCCTGCTTTTTATCCTTCCGCGGAGAGTTACATCTCTCCGCGTCTTCTAGAAGGAACCAAGCTCTTCTATGTTCCGTCTACACATCTGAATCCTATAACACCAAACTGTCTTGTTGAGCCTGTTACCCGCAGGGGAGATGTCCCTATATGCTGTCTGGGAAATCGTAGACACACAGGTACTTTTCTGACGCTATGAATCCATTGCTAATCTGTCTCAGACTCTATGATAGAGATGGTTTCGTTGTGTCATATTTGACAGTTTCGGAACAAAAAAAAACTGAAATAAGGAAATATAATTTGAGTTAAGTCATCGTTCTGAGGATCGTTCCTGACAGTCTCGCCAGAACCCAAGATAAGGGAAAAATAATCGATTTAACAGCGGAGGAGGGAGGCTCGTTTTGTGGAAATTTTTGCCAACTTTTCGATTTAGCAGCTTTCTTTGAAATAACACGTCAGGCACCACACACAAAACACATCATCAGGCACCACCCACACGCACACACAGTGTGCAAGAGCATGTCCAGCGGCCGCCCAAATAAAACCCAGCGCCCAGCACAAAGGCCCTGGAGTTGGCGCGCCACCAACACAGAAAGGGGGAGGCTGCACGGTCAGAAAACCAAGTTGGGGTTGGTTGTTGCGCGGGCTTTTAGGTCAGCAACACGCGCCCGTGACACACAGGTTCAGGCAAGGGGGAGAAAGAGCGCCGGAACGAACCGCGGCAACCGACGACGTAGAGGAGGTGGCAGCACCGCCAGCAAAGGGAAGAGAGGAGGAGGAAGAGCACGCAGTCGCCTTCTGGTGACGCGCCGCAAGAAGGAGTATTCTCTGCTTCTACTTGAGAGAGCGTTTTTGACTTCGATGTGCCCCCGCCCCAAAAAAAACACCCTCTCCGAAACGCTTGAAATAAATGCGATACACAGCACTTCGTACAGGGCTGCCGGGCAGTATGTGTACTTCCTGTCGCTGTTCTGGTGCGGGTTCGTGTGCTGGCGTCAAGGGGGCAACAGACACGCACACGCATGCATGCACGCACACTCAACAGCAGCAGTGGGAGCGCTGTGATCAGGGTGCATGCAGCTGTCACGGAGCGCACCACAAAAAACAGCAGTACCTGCGAACAGGGGAAGTTCGTTGAGTGACTGTCGTCCCACAGCCAATGACATGAAGCCGCCTTAAATCGAAAAATATTCGCCTGCAGGAAGTTTCCAGGAAACTTTCTTATCTCAAATCTGTTTCCTTATCTCAGCAAATTTGGAGCCCCAGTCCGAAACTGTGAATAAGAAAAATAAAAAAATAATAACTCCTGTGAAGATCCAACGCAAGGTCCAACGCAAGGGCGAAAGGTTTTTATTACCGCCCAAAAACCCAATCCGGAATAATACTCGGGGCAATCTTACAGACTATTTCGATTTTTTTTTCTTCTTTCCATGATCCAGTGTAGCTTCATGCTTTATATCGTGGGTACGCATACCCATCGCCGCACTCTTCTGAGAAGCTACCTATAACACAAACGAAGGCTTTTTCTATACACGTCACGATTTTTTTTTTTCCCTCGCCCGCCGCTCAACGAATCTACAATGCATATGGTGTCACAAGAACCACAGGCCAGAGAGAGACAGAGAGATTGAGAGAGTCAGACTGAGACCGACAAGCAGATACAGACAGACATAGAGAGAGAGCGGGAGTAGCAGGGTGCAAAACCTGACCGTTTGCGAGGCTGTGCATCAGCGATGTTGTGTTCGCTGGGGCTGATGTGGCCTCTTCGTTTGTTTTTGCTTTTCCGCCCCTTTACCTTCTTAGGTCTTCTTGCCTACACGCAGGCAACCTTGAGCCAAATTTTACGTGTGTGCCATGCACTTCCAACCACCGTATCAGAAAACCAGAGCCAAATTTTGTTCGGCTACACAAACTGCAAGAGAAATAATTCTAATTTCCGGATAGCAAGTGTCCGGGCAGGTGCACGCAATATAGTCTAGGACCCTTCCACGTCGCCCCTCCCCCCCAAATCAAATATTCGGATTTATTTACCGCGGAACCCGCCATAGGACAGCAAGCACAGACAGCCAGCACACGAGAGAGCGAATTGCCGGAGTCCCCAACGTAGAGATGGTGGGACGATTGTGCCGCTGCCACGCCCTCATCCTACTCCTCTTCAGCACCGCTGCTGCTTCCGAGGATGGTACGCAACAGCAAGAACACGGCCGTCACGGCCGTCTCAGCAGCCCACTTTTTGAAACTTCGGAGTCTCCACCAAGCATTATATTGGATGATGGCGCTGCTGCTGGGGTGGGTCAGCCAGAGACCAACCGGTGTTCGGATCTAGATCTATCCGTCTTCTCCACAGGCATGCAATGCGGAACACCTCTGTCAGCACCTTGCTTTCAATTGAATTCTACAGCGTGTATGGGGAATGCCGGGATCTATGTTTTCGATTCGGAGTGTTCGCTCTTGGAGACTAGCAAGTTGCGCGCTCAGGATGAAGGAAAAAAAGTTAGCTCGACTCGGATGCACCATCACTACGTCGAATGGGTTCTACGAAACGAAGCCGAGCAAATGGGCATGCTGGCGGAAACGTACGAGTCAGCCTGCATTTTAGTGCATGTGTCACCGGGAAGTACTAAGCCATGTGCGGTGGATCAACCCCGGTGGAGCGGCGGCGCCAATCATCTCCTCGTTGATATGTCCGACAATGGGAGGTGAGAGTGGCGAAAAAGCGCGAACTACACTTATTTTGTTGTGTGTTTCCGCGGCGTCGTATGTGCCGGGTTTTGCGACCACGGGCTCCCCATTTTTGTGGACTACAGAACTAATCATGCAATGTGAGGAACAAATAAATGTGAGCTGGCACAGCAGTATACGGTTTTGTTGTCGTTTTCTTCCACATCGACACACTAGGGCGGCGTATGAGCCGCGGGGTAGCTACTCAATATCTCGCAGTAGTAGCTGCGATGCTGATTGATGATGGTGCACGAATGAATCCCGCCGACACACAGCAGCGTGAGAATATCGTTTGTTGTGCAGCAACGTGTGCACCAGAGGGAAAGTGGATGAATCGAGTTTTATATCCGAGGGGACTTCTGGGGCAAAAATGCATGAATCGTGAGCAAAAATACCACATCCCGTTCGACTGTGGGTATATCTCGAATGGGTAGCCTTGCTGTGTGTGTTTTTATTATTCCTTGATTTTTTATTATTCCGTAATTAAATGTTTGAGGCTCCAGAGCTCCAAGTATATATTTTTGTTCCGAGACGAACAGACTGCTCTCTCTCTATCTCCCTCTCTCCCTCTTCCTCCTCTCTCCTCGTTTTTGCAGCAAACATTACCACCGCTGTTACAACAGCAAAAACACAGCACACAGTCATAACAACGCCGCCACCATCGCCAGCCCCCAACCAAGCTTTCGGGCCTGCCCGAAAGATTTTTTGATGTGCTGCATGCGTATCAACGCGTACGTGAGGTTGCCGCATGCTGCTGCACCCTCTCTTTTCCCCTCTGCCCTCCTCTCTCGTCGTGCTCCTTTTTTTTCTTCCTCGCTTTCTCTGATGGTGCCGCCATCGCACGCAAGCACAGACGAACTAACGAACAGACACAGTTCTACAAGGCTCGCCGCGTAGCTTATAGGCTGCCCCGTTATTTTTGTGGGGGGGAGGGCGGCCCTTTCTAGTCGGCATGGCGGGGAGGCTGGAGGTTGTTATTGCCGTTGATGCACAGGGCGTGCGTATGTATGTATGTGTATAGGCCTGTCTGCCTGTCTTCTTTTCTCAATAAAATAACCCCTCTCTCGTTTTCGCTTTGGCACAAGAAAAAAGACAAGGACCAACGGTTTGTATTCATCAACGTGCCTGAGTGCCAACATACAGAGTATCAGCTAGCGTGGGTTGGGGGCGCTTTTGACAGAGACGAACGCGCCTTGTCCGCTATTCGTTCACTACGTTAGGGTGTGCATAATATTCGTATCACCTTGAAAAAAGAAAGGCACTCTCTAATTTCGCATGCTGCTTGTTTCCGGTTGATCAAATTTGGCTGCACCACAACGGCAGCCCACCTGCCCAACACCAGCTGTCCGAGGATGTATTGGCGTAGACTGACAGTGACTCCTAGTCTCAGCTGATACCTCGCATAGCGCGCAGAGGGAGTGGAGGATTCCAGAATATCTGTCGTTGATTTCTATTGACTTGCGGACCCCTCGGGGCCAGTTTATTTGAGTGCCGCGGGTATCTTCCCGTGCCGGTACCGAAGGGGTCTGGCATGTTTCTGACATGTTTCTCCGTGGTCGGTCCGCAGTCAGCAGCCATGGATAGGAAAGATGCCATGGATACGGTGTTGGGAGGTTCTGAGACGTTTTGTCTCTCACTTCCCGAAAAATGCCATTTTTAGTATTGTGTCGCCGCGCAAAGGCCGGGTCTTGGAGGTAGAACTCTCTCCCTCCTTCCCGGCCCTTAGCCTACTAAGGAATCCACACGCTTCCTTAAGTAATAAGAACCAGGCTGACGACATTCCGCTGGTCGCCCAGCTTGGACACAAACCTCCCCACAAACCTCCATGCCTTTCCATGCTCTGCTCAAGCCTTCGCTTTTTGCCCGCGCTTACCTCGGCTTACCGGTCGTTCCATGTCCTGCCCTTTGGCCAGAGACACGCTTACCTTGACCACACCCTTCGCATTATTCGGCCTTTCCATGCCCTGCTCAAGCCTAGAACATGCTTCCTCGACCTTCTGGCCTTTCCATGTCTCGCTCTCGCCAACAACATGCTTACCTCGGCTTAACCGGTCGTTCCGTGCCCTGCTGCTCAGCAGCCAGAGACACGCTGACCTTGACCCTATTTTTTTTTCATCATTTGCCTTCCCATGCCCTGCTTCAGCCTAGAACACGCTACCCATGTCTAGCTTCCGCCCGAGACACGCTTACCTCGGCTTCAAAAACAAGAAGAAAAATAAATAAAAATGAACCGACGATGCTCTTGCTCTCTTTCTCTGTCTGTCTCCTCCCTTCCGTACGCTCGCTTCCTTCTTCTTCCTCCTCTGTCTCTCTTCTACTCCTCCTCCTCTTGTTTGTTTGTTGTCTTGCTCTTTCGTTCAGATGTTTCTTCTGTTGTGGGCAAGGTGCATCTCTTTCTTTTCTTTTCTTTTCGGTACACATTCTTACCTATCTATCAATTATCTCTTACCTACGGTGCCCCCTTTGATATTTCTAACCGTTCTGCCAACACCAGGTTGTACAACACAACCTTCCACTTTTGTCTCTCACTTCCCGAAAAATGCCATTTTTATTATTGTGTCGCCGCGCAAAGGCCGGGTCTTGGAGTTAGAACTCTCTCCCTCCTTCCCGGCCCTTAGCATACTAAGGAATCCACACGCTTCCTTAAGTAATAAGAACCAGGCTGACGACATTCCGCTGGTAGCCCAGCTTGGACACAAACCTCCCATCACGAAGTCTTGTTCTTCTTACTTCTGGATCCCTCTTCCTTATTTCTTCCCCATTCCGTCCCTTGCCCCGGCTGTCTCTCCAATACCCCTTCCCCGTTTTCCAACACCGCCGACACCCATGCTGGGTCTTGCATATTCGCCCTTACGTATGCCATGAATGCGTTCGACGACCACCTCCCTTCCTTCTTTATCACAGCCTCCGGTACCCCTTTCGCGGCCAGCCTCGTCGCCCCACCTATCCTTCCCGAATGTAACGCGAACTCTTCCGGTTTCAGCTTCGCTCCTGCCCCTTTTCCTTCCTTCGACCACATCTTTGACACCGCTCTTATCCCCTTCCTCATCTGCTCTGTCGCCTTCCTTCTCTGCCATACCTCCCACTTCCCTTCCCTTCTGTGTACCATCAATGGTGCCGTTGCACTTAGTCCTTCACTTCCATAAATCCCGAATAGTTCCAACATCAATTCCACCGCTCCATTCGCCCTCCCCCTCTCCCTGACCAGCACCGCTCCTTTCCTCCCTTGATCTCCCTTCGAGCCTCTCATCTGCACTTCTATCTTATCTGCCCTTAACCTATCCGGTCCTTCCAGCTGCTTATCGCCCTCGAAGAATGCCACACCCCCCCTGCACAGGCAGTACACTTCGTGGATTTTCCCATCCTTTTCCGCAAACAACTCTGACGCCCTCAACATCAGCAGATATGTCAAGGCCAATCCGATCCATAGCACTCTTCCCCCTGCACCCTCACCGCCAACACTCTGCTGCATTCCACTCAACATTCCCCATGTCAAAGGTCTCCTCACTCTAGCTTGTGTGCTTTTCTCCACGTGCCCTCTCTTATTACCTTGCGCTACCCCTTTGATGTACGGGTTACTCAACGGCAAAGACATGTTCTGAAACTGTTGATGATAGAAGTTTACCGCCACGAGCTTCCTCATTATCGTCGAATCCCTATTTCCTAGGAACGCACTACAGTAAGCCATGTACTCCGCCAGCTCCTCCACTATCTCCCCTTCCTCCGACCCGTTCGCAATCCATGGACTCTTCTGCACTCGTTCCCTCCACTTTATCCACATGTTCCAAGCCCCCGTGCAAGTTTTTCTAGTCGACGCTGCAACTCTCCCAAGTGCGTAGCTTCGCGCAAAATCTCTGCACATCGCTGCTGCTCCTCGACCTTCAGCTCCTGCGCCTGCCAACGTGTTCCGGGCGATTCCGATTGCAATTTGTCAGCGATCTCTCCTTCCTTCCATCTTGTTATGCCATCTGCTAGCCTATTCTCCACGCCCGGTACATGCCTCGCCTGGAAACACCAACCCCCAATCGTCTCCAAAGCTCCCATCATCCTCATCAGTGCCCCTACCCTCGCCTTCTTCTTCCCCCCCCCCCCACACTTCTTCACCCACGACACGGCGCTCTCGTTGTCCGCCCTCATCATCACCGCCTCTCCTTCCCGCTCCGGCCTATCCCCCCTCGAAATCACCATCACATACGCCGTCATTACCATCGCCATCAGTTCTAGCACGTTTATGCATATAAAGTCCCCTTCTCCCTTCTGCCTCGCCCTGATCGTCCTTCCTTGTACCTCCTCCGGCAACTCGTACCTCCAGAACACCCTCGTTTCCATGCAAACGCCCCCCAACGCTCTCGTTGACGCATCCGAAAACCAACTCCTCGAAGGAACTTGCTTGGCAAAGCTGAACGACGCCGCCGTTATCTTACTGCCCACCTCCCCCGCCCCTCTCCCTAGATACCACCGCCACCACCCCACCTCTGCCCTAAACTCCCATGTCAGCTTCACTACCTTGCGTGCTTGCGCCTTCTTCCTATGTCTGCCCCACGCGTCCCCCCCTCCGGCCCGTTCCACCCCATTCAGATGCAGCCCGGCAAGCTGCAGAAGCCTGTGTACGAAGTAACGGCCGGGCCTGATAACGAAGGCCGCGTGGTGCAGCTTACCTGCCAACACCAATACCTCGCGCACGGTAGCCTGCTTCCTGTGCTCTGGCCATTCCGCTAACCTTTCTCTCAAATCCTGCACTTTCTGTTCTGGCAATGAAATCGTTCCTGCTTCGGTATCCACCAATCACCCTAATACCACATGTTCCGTCCTCCAGTCTGTCATCTTTTTTGCGGGGCAGTACTGGCTCCTCCTGCTCATCCCTCTCCCCTAATAATACGTGGTGAGTGGACGCAAGTCCCTTCGTCAACTCCAGACACCGCTCCCCCTTGTCTTCCCACTGCACTTCCACACTAATCGCATCGTCCACGAAGAACCG